CACTACCTTGAAGCGATGAGAGGGCTCCCTACACTGGCACCGGACATTGCCAAGGCATTTAACGATGGAGAGTTCACCGTACGTCAGACGGAGGGCAGATTCAATGGTGTCTGGACAGATATGGCGCTAGAGAAGACCTACAACCGTGATGCGAAAACAAAGCTCTTCACTGGCATCAGTCAGCAGCCAGCAGCCATGGAGAAATACCTGCGTGCTCTTCCAGTGTTGACAGCTGTATCAGAGCAAACGAAGGCCATGGCACACTTAGACAAGTGTGCCCAAAATCATCATGAGGACTTTGACAGGCAAGCGACAAAAGATGCAGAGAGTATGGAAAAAGTGACAGATGTCATCAAGAACCAAATGATTAACCCATTCCTGTGTGAAGAACAGAAATTGCTGAACATCTCCACAGGCTACAAAGCTGCATCTGAAGACCTGCTAAGTGCACGCAAAAAAGGACTCCAGGCATTGGCCCTAGCACGAGAAACGGAGAGTGAGAAAGTTTTCCCTGTGGAATTGGCCACATTTGCAGCACAGACAAAGAAGTCACTGTCCATGGCACAGAAGGCAAAGAAGATATATGAGGAAGAAAGTGCAGTTGTACGAAACCTGTACTTTGTGCAAGATCTGGATGAAGAGAAGAAGGTTGAGGTATTCAGCCATGAATGGACGAGCTGTCCTGCATCCCTGTTAGAGCCTGATTCGAGCATTGATCAGGGGTATGCGATGCGTAAAGGCAACAAGGCGGACTACCTGGTTGCTATCAAGTCGTCCCTTGGCAACTCCTGGATGCAGGCAGACAAATTATCCCCATCAGATGAGTCAGTCGTGTTGGTAGTTGACGCCATGGCATTCATCCAGCGATGCCAACAACTTGGAAGCAGCACCTTCCACGAATTGCAAGAGAACTACCTGGAGCAGTTTCGAAGCACCAAACCAGACAGCTGTGACTGCATCAACTTTGTTGGGGACCGGTATGATGTCACTGCAGCGGAAAGCCTGAAAAGCGAGGAGCGCGAAAAGAGAGAGAAGACACATCCCAGCAAGATGAAAGAGTACAAGCCTCCTGATGCCCTTGCAATTCCTGAGTGGAAAGGCTTTGTTCAAAACCCCCATAACAAAGCAAACCTGCTGCACTACATGGGCGAGACATGGACTGCACAGCACAAGTCACTTCCTCCGGGATGTACACTCCTTCTCGGAGGAGTCTTCCGTGACCTTAGCTGAACAGTCATGTTATCAACGAACTGCCAGATAGAGCTCCCTGAACTTTCCTGTGTAAAGCACGAGGAGGCGGACACACGGATGTTCGCTCACATTACATACTGTGTACAATTCCTTCATCACAAGCGGGTTGTTGTGATGGCAGCAGACACAGATGTAATCATGTTGTGCATCTACTACAGTATGCGTTTCGCTGAACTGGAAGAGTTATGGGTGAAAAAGATGGACATATATCTGCCTGCCCATGCCATTGCTACATCTCTTGCCATGCAGAGTGATGTAGATGCTGCCCAACTGACATCAGTCCTGTTGACCATCTACATACTGACCGGGTGTGACACAGTCAGCTATCTCTACAGAAGAGGGAAGAAGCAAGCCAGCCTACAAAGCGGCCATCGACAACATTGGACACCTGCTGCCACTTGCCAGATATGGCGACCCGGATGAAAGCCTAGAGGTGACGGAAGAAGTTGTCACAGCAGCTAGGCGGTACATCATGGCACTCTATGACCGGAGTGACTTCGGTGGCTCCCTTGATGCGCTGCGGGCTCATCTCTTTGCGAGTATCTAGGGTGACATGCGATCTCTGCCACCAACTGAAGATGCCTTCCGGCTGCACCTACTCAGATCCCTTCATCAGGTGGCTGTGTGCAAACGAGCACACTTGTCTGAGCCAATCTACCCCGTTGCAACATACTTTGGCAGACACCTGGTCAATGACAAGTTAGTGGCAACCATGATGTTGAAGCAGCCGACGCCGACTGAATTTAAACGGGCCAAATATTGATGTTGCAAGAAGACCAAGTGTGGACGAGGATGTTCCTGTGCTAAAGCAAATGTGAAGTGTGTGATCGCATGCCTGTGCGCTGGAGACCCAAACAAATGTTCAAGGGTTGAACTGGCAGTGGAAGGCAGTGATAGTGACTAACTGTACACCTGAGCATGTTTCAGACCATCCAGACTCTTCAAGTCAGAAGTGATTTGTTTGATCTCTTGACGTACTGCGATATTGTGAAATCAGTAGTGATCACGAGCTGTACGAGTAATATAAATGGTGTAAGTATTGATGTAGGCACAGTGTAGTTGTTGCGGCAACATACGTATTGATGCTAGTAGGTGTCACAAAGGTCTAGCATACCATAGAAAGATGTAATATCTCTTGAAATGTTATTTCCGATAAAACTTAATGAATGAATAAACAACATTTTGTTTCAAATAATTGAGTGTATTACTATTTTATTACGTACTGTGAATTCATTATTATTGGTGTGGTACTAATTTTCGTGGATTTTGTGGATAGCACTATCCACGAATTAAAAGTCCCAACGAAATATGCTTAATTAGTGTTGTTATTGTTAGGCACTGGCAAATCCACGAATTTAAGTACCCACGAACTTGTCCATTTCCATCAATCCACGAAATTTGGAGCCCACGAAAATAAATGAATTCACAGTATATTTCCCATGGCCATGCACAATTTATGGCCCCTAAATTAACTATTTACTTCATGTAAGTAATTACTATAATGCCCTTATCCAAATGATTAAACAAACCCCACAAATTATGACATCATGCTGAGTTATCACGCAGCGACCGCAATTTTTGAAATTGGGGGTAGGGATAGCAAAATCGCCATAACACATTCCATATTTATAACTGAAGCCTAATTATCGGTGTGGAGTGCCTGACATGAATGAGGAACATATTGATATATTGTATGATGTGATAGCATCATCCCTTTTTGATTACCAGTGAAGTAAAGACGAAAATATGAACAAATTATTAAAATCGGGGCGCTATTTTGGGATTTCAATAATTATAAATCATTTCTGAATGTTCTTTAAACATATTTCTCTATTTGATTAGGTCAAGACATGTCTAACGTTGGTCTGGAATGCATGTGATGACGACCATCGCCACCTACAATTGATTTGAAACAAAAATGTATATTTGTCATATTTTTGCTATAAAATAGGGGGATGCATGTACAAAATTGGCCACAATTATTTTTCGCAAAGCTTCCGACAGAGCAGACCTCTCAATTGTCTCACCTTTATGTCAAAACCAATAGAAAAAAACACATTTAAAAAGTATATCGGACCGTGTCAGGTCCAACTCTTTTTATTGAGCTTTTGGATGTCTGGATCCCCGACTAAGACAACAAGGAATCACTCTCTATTTTCGCAGGAACTCTGTCACATGATGACAATTAAGTTATTTCATAATGATTTTTTTTAATGATTACTGAAAAATTTCATCATTTTCAATAATCTGATATGAAAAGTTTGTTACATATTAGGGTTACTATTCAACCTTGCTCGCTGATAACAGAACTCATGATAGATTATTTAAATTAATAGATTAGTTTTAAAACAAATCATCTACTTGAGAAGTTATATATCCTAATAAGGGACATTTTTTTTTTTTAAATTAGGAATTCTAAGTTAAATATTAGTTTACCTTGGTTAAGGCACTGTTTTGAAATGAAATTGTGCCTGGGGCTGTCATTTCCTGATCGAGGGACAGCCAAAGTATCTAACCTGTAGGATTTTATACAACTGTACGTGATGGATAGACAATGAACTGGATTAATTGACATGGACTTAATTGCCTTGAAATCACATAATGTGACCTTGATCAGGTACAGCACATCAGAATCCAATGTGACCACAGGGGATTATGAATGGTCAATGCATTATCACTGCCTAGATTCTCAGGTATATAGATATCATATTGAAAGAAATGTATCTGTCAGCGGACACTAAAGTTGTTTATACCTTAAACAAGGGACAGGTCATTACCACATGGCCAGCTTATGCCTGTTATTTAAATTACCCCTAAGGCCTAGCTGCTGGTGTGGGGAACACACAGTAGGCCCATGGGAGGGCTGTTACGTCCATGTATGTGTATGTGTATGTAACCGTCATTTTTGAGGGATTTTTTCCTTCAGACTATTATGATAGTTGGAATAATTTTCACGTGATGCGGTTTTTAATGATTTTTTTTTACAATTCGTTTCATTCCGTACAATTTTCGACCGAACGTTTCACAAACGCTTTTTAAATGGAAAGATGTAGACGCAAATGCTACGGAAACGATACAGAAGTGCTATGGAAACGCTACGCAAGTGCTACGGAATTGCTACGGTAATGGTACGGAAGTACTACGGAAATGCTACGCAAGTGATACGCAAGTGCTACGCAAACGGTACGGAAATGCTACGCAAACGGTACGCTGAAAGTGGAACAGCGAACGTGTACGTGTCTGTATCACAAACATATATTTGTATACAGTTTACCGCGTCAGATCTGTAGGAGATTTACACGCCGATCTAGGATTGTCGTTCAGCCAAAATTTGATATTTGAATACAACCGTTTATAGTTATCAGAACGATGTATACGTTCACATAAAGAACACCAACTACGGTGCCGCTCCGAATTTAAATCGACTGATCTAGTTTCAGTCCACGAAAAAATATTTTCTAATTTCGTATTTCCCATTTTGTTAACATTCATAGCTTTTCCCAATTCATAAGCGCTTTTGAAGTCTTTTGCGTCAAGATAAGACCCAGGAGGGAAATAAAGAGAATAGTTCGTTCCTCCCCTCATTACTGGAATGGTGGAAGGAGAGAAACTATACGTTTTAAATGCTTTTTCAGTAACATAATCTACACACAGGGAATTTTCAAACGCCAAGTAATATTTATAATGATTCTGAAGGATGTCCATACAACTATTTTCGTTGGATCTTGCGCATCGGTATGTCCCACAGCCACCGTACACGTGAATATCGATGGCTTTCTGGAAAACTTGTTTGTAACGTTCCCTTTTGCTTGGGGTCCAACAATTAGATACCATCCAAGCAGTCATTCTGTCCTTTTTCATCCATTGAGTAGTGATGTTTGGTGTTGTAATCTTACTGGGAACTTGCTTGAATCCTGAGTAAGATGTTAACACATCAGAATCTCTTCTGTAAGTGAAAGTCCAGTTAAATAGGTTGCTCCATTGTGAAAGGTCGTTGTGATAGTGAGGTGGGGATTCCATACCATGCATAATCCATAACTGAGCACGTGACTTTTTGGGTGGGTTTATTTTTCCTAGTTGGGGTCCATGAAAAATTACAACCTCTGGATATGTTTTAACTAAAAAGACAGGTTGATTCAGGTTCAAATGGTATCGAGGCACTCCGATCATCTTTGCTGTTAAACACATCATTACAGCAAACACCACCAATATCACCGTTCCCGACAGGACATATCTGGTCTTTTGACTGAAATATACAAAAGAAAGCGCAATTAATGTATACAGCACAGCTCGAAATGAAAATATGCAATGCTTATGTGTAGTTATACGCGTCCGTAAATACCCTCAGAGCACGAATGTATTGAACATAATGTTTCTCGGTCCTGTAGTCCGAATTATTCTGACGTTTTATCGCCTTTTTTCATATCGGTCTGTCATCGATAAACGTCAGAACTCCTGCCCTCTATAATATGCGGGAAATATGCGACCCGCGCCTGGAGCGCACTTCAAACTGATATTTTAGAAACAAATCGTCACTTTCACGCACATGTCGTTAAAACTAAATTGTGGAATAAATTTGAAGTGTTTGTTAAAATGTCAAAGTACTCCGTTGTTTGCCAATCAGCACGCGACAATACGCTGTTCAAACTATTGAATGGAATTGTGTGGACTGTCGATAAGGCGGGCATTTTTAATTTTAATTATAAATTATAAGTTAAAAAAGAACATCAGAGGCAGAGAAAACGTAAATATAAGTATTGAACTGTTTTTGTATGATATTTATGATCTATTTGAATGACACAGCTTTGCAAGCAAACAACATAAATACCATACAAAAACAGTTCAATGCTTAAGTAAACACCAACCGTTTATTTAGTTTCATGCTATAATTCACCTGTACTACAATGTTGCACCTTAAACCTGGCTTGTCTCAAAGTTGTTTGCGTACCTTGATCGTTCTGTGCAATTATCTATGTGTTCATTATTTTGTGTTCGGTGTTCTCAAGTTCAATTCAATCTTTTGAATACTATTCTGTAAATAAATCTTCTACACGTTCAAATACTCTAAGAAACCTTGTTTGGCATCTTTTAATTCCTTCGTTGCTTTTAAAACATCTAATGTGCGTATATGTATTTCCCCTGGCGATGTCAACGGGTCGACTGTTTTCTAAAACTACGTTGTGTATGTACCGTTGACCACGAAGTACATGTAATTTATTCATTACTTATCTTTTAAATCATACAACCATAACGATACAGAACTCAAGTTTATCGTTTATAGGATCATATTCCGGGAATTTATGTACATATATTTAATGTGTGATATAGGTTTTAATGTGTACGCCCAAACTAAAAGACAGGCTTATTGCAGGCAATAAATTACAAAAACGTGCAGCACGTCTCATTTTAGATATTCAATTTGAAACTCCTTCAAAAGAAAAAGTTTTCTGTGTTGCAAATGTGTACACGAACTTGCTCCTTAATATTTATGTTCTTGTTTTAAACATGTGAACAGTGTTCACTCCAGAGATACACGACAGGCTGAACAGATTATGTTGTACATTCCTAAGCCCAGGAAAACCTTTTATACTGGTCACTTTGTTTTATCAAGTTGTGAGTTGTAATGCACTTCCAAATGATGTAAGGTCATCACCATATTAGCGTGTATCCTCGCAATTTTTATACTTTGCTATATTAGCATGCTTGTATGTAAGGCTCCGGCCATTTAACTATTATCAGACCTTCAAAGCATGAGATGTATGCTTTCTGTGATATTTGATGTATTGTACTATATAATTGCATGTAATATTTTCAGCAATCACATAATTTATATTTTAGATGTCATTTATGTTTAATTCATATTACTATGTTTTAAGAAATACTATGTAAAACTAACATATTTTATTGATATATACCCTGAGGGAGATTAGCCTTTGGCTAAATCAGGTTTTTATCCTCAATAAATAAATTGTATTGTTATTATTTTTATTATTATATTAATAAGTGGTAGAGTTGAACATTTTTTACTTGTTAATTAAGGTGGGTCCATCCTTTTGGTAAAGCCCATGTCATTCTTTTCTAATTAGGCTTATTTTCTTGAATTGTTTACGTAGATTCCATATATGAAAAGAAAAAAGGGGGTTCTCGTTTTACTTTTTGAGATATTTGAGCTGAAAGGTAGCCACTTTTCTGAAATTTTCCACCAAATAATGAAATTAAGTAAAATTATGTTTTGTACAATATTTACAAAACAAAAGTTACCACCAAGTTGAATATTTTCAAAAGATTATGTGCTGTACTATCAAAAGCAAAAATAAAACAAACACAATTATATTTGCTAAATTTATGCATTTTTAGGGGTCATCCATTCTCTTCAAAATGCCGTTTTTAAATTTTACATCGAACAAATGCATTAAAAATCAAGCAAAAATACAATCTAACCAATGTCAATGTTATAAAACTTTTACAGAAGACAGCCAAGTACATGTATATATGCGTTTTGGTAAGCATACAAAAGTGTGGGGTTCCCGGTAACAATTTTGCAATTTTGCTCACTTGAAGTTAGAACTCCGTTCTCCCACCCCATTTTGCCTATTCCTATGTTAACGGGTAAAAGGCAAAATTATGCATATTATTATCCATAAAAATATGGATTCTTTATCGTGTCCCCACACCTATATTTGACATATGTTAAAATCAAGTAGCATTAATGCTCGGAAAATAAATAAAAATAAATATTTCATTATATAATTATATACACATATATAAGTTCCTATCCATATTCCGGATCTTTGGACCGCCTCCGGGTACGGTATTATAAACGAAATTATATTTTTCCGTATACAATGCTAGCGCACTATTTCAAACGTAATGTGCTTGATTTCACTGTTAGTTGTGTAGTTTCTGTATATGTTGGTGGGTATATAAAATTCATATTGAACAAATATTTGCTACTATTAACGAGTCAACGTCTACTTATTGCTGTAGATGTATCGTAACATAGACAATCGAGTTCAAAACCCGGTACAGAGACTACTAGCGGAATATGTCGTTTCCGTGATACAAGTTTCCGGAACTAAACAATTAGTGTCTCAAATTATTTTGGTCATATTTCCTACACTTTTTGTATACATTGAGCATTAAAGACTGCTGTCGTCAAAATTATGTTTTTAATAGGTGAGTTTAATACATGAACCATGCTAAGACAGACCAGAGTAACATACAAGGAAAAAGAAAATTCTAGTCCCCAGTATGGGATTCTGAGACTAATATAAGCAGGTGGTGAGGTGGTTGCACATTTACAATGTACTTGTGTGTGTGTGGGTGAGAGGGAGTCAAAAGCTCATCTGCTTACAAAGTTTTCAAATGAGCACAAAAATATCTGGTTACACATGAACTGTTATAAACACATGTGAAATACATTTCATTCATAACACAAGAAAATGTATCTTGAATTTGAGAATAAACTACAAAGGTAGCAGAGTACAGTAGAGGGTTGTGGCCATGGGTGATATTTTTGTTAAATGGTTAACCCCTGTATAATGATATGTAAAAAAAATATAAAAATAAAATTCTACTAAAATTGGTATAAGCATGATGAAGTGGGCTATGTGAGCTTCACATTTGTAAAAAAGAAAGAAGATTTCTTTGGTTCGAGAATAAAATTTTGGCCATAATACGAAAGGGTGCGTACACATGAAAAGCTAGCTTTACAGGAGGTAAAATTTTGACAACAGCACACGACGCAAAATTGCAAAAAATCAAGTTCTACAATTTTACTGCGACCCAGATAATTCGGCAACCAGGTAGGTAATCTTTAATTTCAGACAGAGCTTAGGAAAAAAATTACTACATGCGGGGGTCAAATTTTGGGTTAAAAATAGCATTTTTTGGCATTTTTTGGTAATTTTTGATGTGGTAACCATGGTTTTCACACAAGTGACATACATAGAAAAAAGAGGTTTATACACTTCTCAGTGCTTTATATGTATTGTAAATGTAATGCAGTTTACAAATATATATACATGTATACATGTGTTGTGTAGGGTAAATCCGCTGTGTTTACATTTCCTCGACATGTGCCTTGTTTATCAGAGTCGGGCCATTTCTGCTGTATTCTGCTACCAAATGTAATATGTGATTCTGATTATAAATCTGAACCAGAATTCTAGAGAGAAAATTCACAGAGAAATACATTCTTGGAAAGTAATTAATATTTACCAAATTAACTTAAAGGAGAGAAAAAAAATGAATAAAACACTATTTAACACTTACATTGTTTTTATTCAAATCACATTTTTGAAACATAATACAGAATAAGAAACTAAGATAGAAATATTTGTCTTTGGAGTATGTACATTGTAGTATGAATTGTATGTATCAAATTAATAACACATTTACAGGACCTATGTATTTTTATTTTTTTCACATTAAATTGTCCAGAGTTTTGTTTCTTTCCTGGAATCTTCTGACATAAGGCGTTCTGGTTAAATATCCGTGACCTAGAACATTCACCTGTAAAAAGGAAAAGTAAATTTAATGATTTGAAAAATACCGGGTAGGCAGAATCCATATTTCAATTACATGTATACATAACTATGTCTAATATAAAAATTTGATTGGAATCCGTGTGACAGGAAAAACATATGAAAATGAAAAAATTACAAGAAGACAGATTCTCAAGGCCTTTCACTGCTGTACAGCTCTTCAGGAGAAGTTAACACTATATACATGTAGTGCTTAACAATATCTTATTGATAATCCAGTTAGTCATAATTTAGAAATTACTGCATCAAATTATACTAATATCGCATAATTATATCTGGTCTTCAACCAATCTCACAGGAAATATCAATATTGATAATATACACATGTAGAATACAGTCTTATTAAAATTAGGCAAAAGTGACTTTTAAAAACAGCTTAGTCAACAACCGTATTGAAAAATATGACATGTATAAATGTTTTGCTAAATCTATGAGAATGTAAGTCAGCTCAACAGTGTCCCATTTCCAAGTTTATACACCATTATATTTTTCCTTCAAAATTTTAATTAATCTTTTGAATAATATATCGCCAGAAATCAATCTTGG